ATACACATACAGGTATACGATATGTTACACTGCCATAATTTTCACAATTAAATACTGTCTATAGTATATAAATAAAACACTTTAACGATTTAAAACGTGATATATAATAGTTTAACTTATTTGAAAATGTGCGCGTTTTAAACCGTTAGTGTTTTATTTAAATTTGCATAATTTTTTGAACTTATTTTTTAAATTTCTTTTAACTACGGCCTTACATGGTCACGGGGAGACTAAAGATGGAGGATGTCTCTGACGTCAAAGTAGAAATTGCTACGCTAGCGCCATCTGTTCCGTCGAAGTTGGTATTTGGCGAAACTGGCCGGGCCCTTACAGAATTGACTTACGGTGTCTTCGCGTTTTGCGGTTTTTTTTTTTTTGGGGTCTTGGGTTTTTTATTTGGGGTCCCGGGGGTTTTTTTTTTTTGGCCCTTTTTGATTTTTTTTTTTTTTTTTTTTTTTTTTGTGGGGGGGGGGGGGGGGGGGGGGGGGGAAAAAAAAGGGGGGAAAAGGGGGGGGGGGGAAAGGGGGGGGGTACTGGGGTTTTAACTAAAGAGTTATTTTAAATAGTTTTAGTAACATTTGCATAAACCAGTCAATATTTTTTACATTACATGTGTACTTACGATGGCACAATATAGATTAAAAAATACAAAACTAAATTAATTAAATAAAACACTTTAACGAGTTTAAAACCCGTTATATTCTGTTATGAAATGATTATTAACTTAGGCCCGACGTTGCGGATGCTTTGTCATTAGAAAAGAGATTACATTTGCCGTGCGGCGAGTCACGGGGCGACTGTCTCCCCGTGACCACGTTATTTAAATGTGTTACTACTGCGTAAACTATAGACAGTATTTAAATACAAAATAAATTGTTTTTTTTTCCTGCCCTAATTGAATTTTTTTTGATTATTTAATCCGTTTTGTAAAAATTTCTGGCCTTTTTACGCAACTTATATTCCTTAGAAACACTCGTAATACACGCTAGCTTTTGTAGTGTCCGAAGTTTCATTTCCAGTCATGCAAACAAAAATCTTAGCACAAAAATATGTCGTCCTGTCTTCTACCAAAAAGTACATAATGTCGGCGCTACACCAGAGGTTTGGGCCGAGTCCATCTTAATGGAAAACGCACACAGATGACAGCTTCGTTTATTTTCGCACGAATCCCGTTTCAATTTTATAGGCAACGGTTATTACTATTACAACTTCCCTTAAAACAAATTAATTGAAATGGCCATATAAAAACTTGATAAATGTGAATATGAAAACTTACAGTAGATGGCGCCTCTAGTTGGCCACATTAAAGTTTGTTTATTTAATAAAAAAATCAATTTATATTCATAATATTGATAATCTAATTTTACTGTGAACGTTTATACAAAAATAATAAATAAAACAATAACAAACATCACATGTTTACAAAATAGTCAATACAATGTCTGAAAGATATTGAATTTATAGAAATAAGAGTTAGATAATCATATAATTATTAAATACTGACTGGCGACATTGGGCCAGGGTAAGGTTAAATATTTTAAATAAAACGCTTTTAACGGTTTAAAACAAGAAAGTAAAAGGGGGGCATGGCTGCTGAAAACCATCGGAAATTTTAAATTAAAGTTAAAATAGATGTACAATAAGTCAACTAATATATTTCGCATTTTAAACTTTAATATAATGAACGGCCTCTAACTAAAATACAAAATATCTCAAGGAATATGTTATTTAAATATGTAACTACAAATTGAAAGCTTGGGGAAGCAAATCCCAGCAGAGGATCTGAAGGCCTGGTGAACTATATAACTCCCCAAGTGAAACTAGGTGAAATAGAAAAAGTAAACCTTTCGCAGTGAAACTTTATAAGAAAACAAGACAAACAAAGCAAGTGCTGCAAAGATAAAAAGCTCTGAAGAGCACCGCCAAAGAAAACCAGATACAGGAGTGGAAAGTTTAAGTGTGTGAAACGGGAGGCGAACTCGTAACCCATTTACACGACGCAAAACAATCTCTTTGAGGTGTCCACTGTCCCTCACTAACAACTAAGTAACGCTACTATAGGATTAAAACTTCAGTCACACGAGGAAATTGGGGTAAATTTGTGTTCGAAGGTTGAAATTCCTTCATTTCGATCACCATCAAGACCAACTTGCTTCTAATCAATTGTCTGGGATATTTCGCCTACTATCAATATAGTAACAATTGTTAAATAAAATACTTTTAACGGCTTAAAACGCGAAATAATATATTGTTCTATTTTAAATTAAGGCACACATACTCTCGGGGGACACGTTTCTGCAAGCATCCGAAACATTGGACCACAGTTAGAATAAATTAAAATAAGTAAGCTTATTTAAATTACTTAAACACTTTAACGGTTTAAAACGCGATATATTAGTTTATAAGTAAACTTATTTATTTTGCTACACTAACTGTTATACTCGCGTACTACTCGTGTAAACTACAATACATACTAAAATATGCCAAAATGTCCTAATAATAAGTATAATGTTAGTAACAAATTTCAACTCAAAATATTTAATTGTACAATACATATTGTGTTCTGTGTAATAGTCATCAAATCAGCGCTTTAACATAACTTCAGCAAGTAAAAGGATTTTTTTTTCAATTTATTCTCGATTTATAATCTATATAGCGCCATCTGTGGCACCTAACATCTAATTATTGAAGTTTTCAAACGTTATAACTTTGTTATATCATCTTCAATGATTTTCTTAAGATGTTAAGCGTAAGACATTGAACCTTAATACGCAAGTGCTAAGGTTGAAATTACATTGCGTGAGAGGTGCATGTATGAATAAGTTGAACAAAATCGACGAAATTCGGTCTGGTGGCTCAAATGGTAGAGCAACAGCACGGAACGCTGACTATGCTGGTTCAAGTCTTGCCGGTCGAATTTTCAATTTTATTGAAACAAATTCTATTTTAAATCGAAATAAATAAGTCAATTTTATTATTACTAATTACATAAATGTATGTGAATGAACGAAAAGTGCGAACAAGTATATTTTAATGATTGTAACCAGGAGTAAAGGGTTAGTTCTCGAGAACACCTCTTAATCCCAACTGCGTGGTGATACCAGAAATGTCTCTAGACAATTCGAATCTTAGACTTCGTCAATTACATTCGACACAGTACACAAATGACTAGACCAACGCAATTCTCGAACGTAATCTTATGGAAGTTTAACTATTAACAATTTCATTTACTGAATCGAGAACCCTTCGAGTTCCAATAGTAATGGTTTGTTACAAGTAAAATGCACTTCACGAAACGCGAATGAAATGAAAGTTGCGCCGTTCTGTTTATTTCTCGCTGCCGTCGATTTGATTTATCGTTTTCGGTCTCAGCCATTATTCGGAATTCGTTTTCAACTCGATTAGGGTTGCTTCTGTTGCATAATTGAAAGAATTCAATTTTTCAGTACGAACTGTACGAACAGTACCTACCTACCTATAAAACATAAAGCTTGTAACGCATAACGTAACCGAGCCGTATATCATAAAAAAAGGTGAGACTAAGTAAAAATTTTAGTACAAACGAATTGCGTAGAAGTAATTGAATACTAAACACTGTCTGAAGTTTATGCGAGTAGTACACATTCAAATAAAACACTTTAACGGTTCAAAATGCAATACCTATAGTTAAACTTATTTGAAAATAATTTTTACTAAGGCCCGTTATGGATGCTTTGCGGCCGTGGTCACGGCTCAGACTAAAGATACCCTCCGTCTCTGTCAAAGTAAAAACTGCTACGCTAGCGCCATCTGTTACGTCAAATACCAACTGCGACGGATATAGATCGCGTTTTAAACAGTTAAAGTGTTTTATTTAAATGTGAACTCGCGTAAACTACAGAATTTAATTTCGAAGTACAACCTAAGGTACCTAGATAATCTTTTGCACCTATTTTATAGCCAGACCTATTAAGAAGATTGTAATAAAACATACATAACCCCCGTAACGCGTAACATAACCAAGACGTTTTTCCTAATATTAACAATTAAAATACACCAAAATTACATACTTCAAAGTATAAGTATTACTTATATGTAAAACTTTACTAAACGGTTATTATAAAACTTATATTTTACTGTCCGTAATTTATTACGCGTTTTGAACTGTAAGAAAGTGTTTTATTTTAAATTAAGTAATATTTTATTTGTGTATGCATGCGATTTGAAAAATTCAAAGCCGTGCAAAGTACACAGATCTTGGAAATAAAATGTACTTTGATTTATTTGTGGTAACCCTTAAAAATATATTTGGTGACAAAACTTCCAGATACATGTCCACGCTGTAGAGTGACCTAACCAAAATTTAAGTAAAATGAGAAAACTGACTACGCCCTATGAAATGACTGCGAGAAACTCATCAAAAAACAGCGTTTTCCTGCCTACAGTTCTTAGGTCTCTCACACGAATTATGACGTTTGACTAACACCGACTCTAACGTTCGTTCAATCGTTACAAGAAAACAATTAGTGTGTTTAACATAAAAGGGACCCATCAGTTTTTAAAGCCTTTTTATATCGAAATGAAAGGTAAGTTTTACATATTTTTGGTTTTATTTGACTCTTTACACACGAGGCTTCTATCCTAAAATTTAGATACATTTAACCGGACTAATTTTAGGTCTGTTTAAAACTACAAAATAATAACAGTTCGTGACACATTAATGTTTAAGTCAGTTTAAATGTAAATATTGTCAATGTTTTTTTTGCTACTGTTATACTTTATCGATAAGTCCATTTAATACTATTACTAGTTAACTTGCTGATGGTCAATTTAGTAATGGGTCTGTGTTTCATTAAAAATATTATATATTTTTGCCTGTAATATTTATAGTGCGTTAGTTTTCAGTAATTGACTTTTAAAACTAAAATGGCCGTAAAAAATCTCTTTTACTTTAAGACTTATTTGTATCTCTTTTTTACAATGGCTTCTGTCGATCAAAAAAAATACGGATTTTGTTTATAATGAAGATAATAGCAGTCCTCCTCATAGAGAACCTAACCAGGTATGTAATAATTATATTGAAGGTACTTTATCTGCAGTTGCCTGTTTTTTTTTTACTTACCTTTTAATCAATTTTGTTTGCAGGAAAATACTTATCTAAAATAATAATAAAAGTATTGATGTCAAGGTAACTAAATATATATTATTTTTGTATTAATTTATTACTGACTGTAATTTTCATTCATTAATTTTTGTGTTTACTTGTAGCTGTTATTAGAAAAAAAGCAGAAAATCGTCGGTATTTGAATGCACAAAAATATTTTAAAGATACTGAAGATAATTCTAATCTTCCTTCAAAAGGTCCTGGTCATCTAACCAGGTATTGAAATCACTAAATTGAATATAGTTAATCTGCGGTTCCTTGAAAATTATTTTATAATGGCGGAAGGTTGTTACAATTATCTCTTTATTGATCCTGAGCTAATGGAATGTCTTTCGTTTTTACTTAAAATTTGCATGCTGCTTAAAAGTACCGGAAAATGCTGAAGGCCGCGTAAGAACACCTATAAATTAGCGTATTCCGCCCATAATGCTGAAAATAGTGACGCGTTAAGTGATGGTGATCCTACTTTAATGTTCAAGAAAATAATAGAACGGTTCAAAGTTGCTATTTCCCCCTATCACAATTTTAGTACTATAGTGTAGCTCTTCTTCTTCGAGCTCAAGTTCTCGTCATCTGACAGCTCTAGTGATGAATATGTGGAAGAATATAATGCAACAACAGAATCAACTTCAAGCGGTTTCCGTAAGTGATGAATAAATGGAGTTGTTACTGTGGCAAAAGGTAGAAAGCGCACTAGACAACCGGAAAACTGGAAACAAATGAAGGCCAAAATGAACATCGGGAAAACTTCTATGATAGCAAAAATGCAATAATTGTACTCATTACCACCTTGTATTGATAAATGTAGATAGCGGTGTCCTACCAAAATTGATTCTATGCATAGGCAACGTATTTTCGATGCATATTGTAAAATAGGAAATATTCATAATCAACAATCTTTTATTTTGTCATGCTTAACCGATGTTACACCCAAATATATAAAGTAACAAGGAATTACCCATCTTCTTTTTTTATTAAAGAATCATACAACCAGCAAAATTTACTGAAGTATGTACGAAACAGACGAACTAAAATGTTACCTTTAGAGCAATTAGCACTAGTTCAGGCTTACAGGAATACAAGTGCTGAGCGAGAATAAAAAAAATATTTGCGCGAGTTAATTGCAAAAATTTGATACCAAATTTTTATTCAGATTTTTATGATTCTATATTAGATGCTAAATAATAGATTCAAAAGCGGTCTTCGATGTCTTGTGGAGGACTTTTACAAACGAATTATGTATGATTATGATGAGGAGCACTTTTTCATCTTTTCTTTTACTTGTCTACTATGATTATCACTAAACTACTAAAAGTTCAAGTAAATAATTAGTTCCATTTTTTAGTTTGAAAATGCTTTTAGTAATTATGTACCTTAGATAGTTAATAAAATAAACCAATTAGAAAAATTGTGAGACTGATTCTTAACCTACCTATTAGTTTCTAGAAATAAACCTTAGTTATTTTATTTGTTGGAAAATAATGTTCTCGTTAGATAAATATGAATGATTGTTTTTTAATTAAATTCGTTAATTAACAATAGTATGCGCTAGTTTTTTAAGATTTAACACAACAAATATTGTTCAGAGATGTTGATTTAACTTTTTAATTAAAAAGGCTGAACTAAAAATATCGTTTTAATTTTTAGTAACAAATGGACCTAAGTAATAAAATATACACCTAATTGTATTATGTTTTTTGTATTAGAATGACTTATTATTATGAAAAAAGACCGAAGGCAAAATCGTCGTTGTTATGTTTAATTGTAAATAGACTTAAACCTAAGTTGTACAGTCAAGTAGTTTATGTTTTTTCTATTAGAATGACTTAAAATAAATTAGGTCTGTATACTCTTTATCAAATTTTCCATTAATTAATTTTAAAAAGACCTAAACCTGCAAGACCAATTTTAAAAGCCTATAGTGTTCAAAATAAATAAAATATAACAAAAATTTCAACTTCACCTAAAGCTTTGATGTATATACTGTAACAAAAATTAAACTTACATTGTACAACTTAGGTAATTATGAATTTATAGAGAATTTAACAGGACAAGTCGCTATTGCAAATAGTTTTATGCGATTTGCCAAAAAAGTGTTTTTTTTAATTCGGTCACTGTATACTAAGCGTGCGATGTGTTCTTCGTCGGTTTAGAGAAACTTATATGTGGCATCAAATATTTGTTCGTGTCGAAGAAATAATAATTTACAAGTTGGTATAGAAATTCTTAGCGTGTTGTTTAGATTGCTGTTCTTATCCTTTTTAAGATAACCAATATGTATTGTCTGTAGTTTACCCGACTTACACATTAATAAAAACTATTAACGGTTTAAAACGCGAAATATAGGTACTACTTCGTAGGTGGGCCAGACGAAATAAAAATATAAAGTGGATGATTACAGTTTTTGAGTTACACACAGTACAGATAGAGATTTGAGTATTTTTATTTATTAAATTATTTTTAATTTTATATGTGTATTTAATGTTAGGTTGTTATACTTATTGTTGTGGAACTTATTTTAAAGACAGACTTAATACCTTATAATAATCAAAGTTGGACTTTTAAGTATCGAAATTGGAAGACAAGCAGTCTGACTCCGTAATGCGTTACGTAACGAAGCAGTTAATTATCTTATAAGAGGGTATAAATTTCATTGATCCGAAAAACGCGCTAATTTAACCCGATAGGGTTATATACTGTCTGTAGTTTACGCGAGTAGTACACATTTCAATAAAGCACTTTAACGGTTTAAAACGCGAAATATATTAGCTAAACTTATTCGTAAATTATTTTAACACGGCCCGATGTTTCGGATGCTTTGCAGCAGCCGTGGTCACGGGGAAACTAAAGATGGAAGGTGTCTGTGAAGTGAGTAGCAGTTTTTTACTTTGACGTCAGAGACACCCTCCATCTTTATTTTCCTCGTGACCACGGCTGCTGCAAACCATCCGAAACGTCGGGCTGTAGCTAAAATAATTTTCAAGGAAGCTTAATCGAGGGCCAACCATTGAATACATTCCCAGTATCGATCAGTTCCCTCGCGGTTCTTTAGAACAGGTATCGCAATGCATTTTACCACCAGATATTTCTTACAGCGCAGTAAATCCAATCACCGCAGAGAATAGAACCCGGTACCGTATCATTGATCAAAAGCTCATAATTGCGGTGTCATCGCACAAAGGCCAATTTATCCCACACCTAGGCGACCTGGCGTGCAGTGTACGAGATAATTTATTATCAGCCAAGCCAGATATTAATGGTGATATGGATAATTGAGATTAATACAACATAGTAAAATTTACTTTTTTTTACTTTAGAGCAATAGAGGTAGACTTACTTCATAAGCAAAACGCCATTTTCTATGCATAGAGTGAGCTCGTGAAGTGTTTACAGTTTATGATTTCCTATAGATTATGAAATATTAAACTAATATAGTAAACTAATTATATTTAATATTAGTTTATAGTTATAAGTCATAGTTTTAATTGAATTGTTTCTATGTTCACCTGTGTGATGACATTGTAATTTTAATGATTCAATAAATAAATATTTTTGATCAAAATATGATAGAGGCGTCGAAAAAAAACCTAATGATTTTATCTTTAATAAAATAAATGTATGCATACTAGGTGGTTAGGATCTGTGAAGAGTTGCAGATTGTAGGATCCTTGAGAATATATTTTTCACTGATAATATAATTAATTTAAACAAAGGTTATGCTGTTTTGAGGTTGATATTACATGTAATTTTTTCGCTTTATAATCGATTTTTAGTTCATATACTGCTATCATCTGCAATAAGATGTGAAAAATATTAAAGTTTTCAAATATATGCATATGAGATAAGCTTACAGAATGAACTGGTAAGATCTTTTAGTACCTACTTGTATATTCATACAAGATTTTAAAAAAATATGTCTACTCTAAAAAGTTTTTATAACATTTATTAGTATAAACCATCCCATTTAATGTAGTATTGAATAAAAAATAATAAATCCTGCATGGAGTTAAGTAGCAATACATCGCCAACCCCAGATCATAAATAAAAAACAAATAATCACTGTTTTCCTCTGATAAATCAAGCGGAAATTGTCAATGGCGTGACTTCCGAAAACTATAAATAAAGCGGGTAGATACAATATTTTAAAAATATGTTCAACGTTCATCTCCACAAACCGACGTAATAACAAAATGTCTCTAAACGCCTAAATGAAAAACCAGTTCTCATTGACCCATAATCCGTCAAGTATTCATTGGAAGTATGTGGTATTCCGTTCTTATAAGGCAATGTGAGAGAGGTCGTTAAAAATTGGTCACGTGACTCTACCATAAATAGACTAAGGTTGACAATTTTAATATTGCCGAGTTCCAAACATATCGTGATCTCTAATGCATAAAAATAAAGGCTATTTTCAAATGGATTGTAAATAATAATCTGTAGAAGCTTTATTCGTTACTCAGTAGCTTTTAAATAGATGCTGAAAGAAATGGACAGACAGCTATCAAGATGTTCTAATAGGCGTATCGTATGCCAGAAATATTTTACAAATTGTCTGGCTTCCGAATGTTTGGTATTTATATATTATGAGTGTTATTAGTTCTGTAGTTCATTTTATAGTCTTTCTTTGTAATAAAGAAGAGCAGACAACCACAGACTATAACCAAAACGAGATTGAAAATCTCGGCATATTTATCTGTGGACTTTCAATATTTCTACCACCCGTTTAATACTCAAATTTCTAGACGGACTTCGTCTAGATGTCATGTTTTAGAAAAAAAATGTTAGGAACATGTCGGACCTAGTGTTGATCGTACCCAAGACCCGTTGATTATTAGTTATTAGCTTTACATTTCTAACAGCGAGCCCGTCTTATTAAAAACTTGATTCTTTTAAGATCGTAGATAGATAAAACAATAGATTGTTTAGTTGTTGTTTTACTTTCAAACTTCTATTGTAAATACTTTAACTGTTCATTATATACAAATATCCAAAATAATATTTATTTATACTCTATCTACTAACTTACGTCTATACTAATTTTAAAACTGAAGAGTTTTATCGTTCGTTTGTCTGCGCTAATCTCAGGAACTACTACTGGTTCGAATTAAAAAATCAATGATATCCAAATATAGACCATTTATCGAAGATGGCTTTAAGCTTTATAAGATCACGCTTTAAAATATAAAAGGGACGAAACAAAGAGAGAGAGAAATTTATAAAAATATTTTTCTTTAATGGCTTTCGTTGCGTGGACTACGGAAACGGTTTAAGAAATCAAAAAAAAATGGAAGAATTATTCTTCTTTGAATGCTATAAAAAATGTCTGCGACAGTATATGTCCATCTTTTCAAATTAACTTCGTAGGTAACAGCTGTAATTATAAAGCTATGGTTGTTTATTCTTTACAAATAATATTATGATGCCCGTAATAATTATTCCGTAATTATATATCCGTCCGTAGCTACATTTATATAGGTAAAGTGTGACGTCACCGTTTCTAATAGCAGTGGGACGTCTGTTCGTCTGTCAGACGTGACGTGATATTGCATTCTGTTAAAACAATAAAGGGAGATAGGGTAAGATTCATCATCTTTGTTTGCGAAACAGATAGAATGATTGACTATAGAAATTTCATATTGAATTGAATGCTACAGGTAAAATATATTTTTAAGTATGCTATAATGTTTCGAAAATTAAAAAGTTATTTTATTTAAACTTTAATAATGACAGTAAAATAAATAAAATAAGTTAACAATGTCGTGTTCTAAACCGTAATAGCGGTTTTATTTAAACCCACTAAAAGCTAACGAAATAAAGCTTCGAACCGAAATAAAGCTTTGCAAAATGGCCGCTTCAGTCTTGTACAATTTAAAAATGTTATAAATAATTGAAATCAATTCCATTCTTGTATGTAATTTTCACACAACATTAATTTTTAATATCGTTAAGTAAATATTAATGTGAATATTTCTTGATGTTAACTTAATTATAGTTTTTGACATTTTACGTTTCGTTTATTTTAAATAACCATTGCATATTGTAACTCATCAATCTACAGGAACTTGCCTACAACGCCCTCTTCATTGTAATGTTAAAACTTCCCTGTCCCTACTTTCCTTCGGGAACTTGCAACATTTGCTTGGTGTCTTGGTGTAAGATGGCGCTGTAATAACCAATGTTAGTATATTGTTGACCACAATAGGTTCTCTATATATATTCTATTATCTACCCGAATATTATTAAAAGGTTAATTTGTATTGTTTGTTTGTGTATAATAAAAAATCTTTCACAATATTGTTCAGGTCAGGCAAGGCACTAAAAACTTATCAACTACATGTCCTTAAATGATGAACACAGAAATGTGTTCGCCCTATTCCCTTTCTCCTCTGCCCCCAGGACACGAGGAAGAAACGGGAATTTTACTTTTTATGGTATAATACGTTTGACAGGTCAGAATCCTGTTATTAAAAAGAAAAATTACAATATTTTTCATGTGGTAATTTTTCCGCCGTAGTCATGCTAACTTGTTCTGTAGAAAAAACGTATTTAGTGCATTTGTTTGTAAGATATTGAAGATACAGAATTTAAAAATATTTCCTCACATACTTGGCATTCCTTTTTTGCGAAGTACCGTCTATTTCGTGTTGTTACGTGTAAAAATTCTGAACATTGGTTAGAACCATTTTTAAACATAATTATTATTTCCCTACAATAAGTATGTGGGTATAAATAAAAGTGGATTACAATTATTAATATTTTAGTTAGCGATCAAACGTGACAGCTATACCTAATTTAATCTCTACGTTTTAAAAGACGGGACACCGGATTATATTAAACCCCGATTTGCTTCGTTTTACTTTCCTTGTAGCAACATTTTCCCAGAATAATAATCTCTGATTCATGGGAAAAATGAACGTTGAATTTGGCCCGATGTGCCGTAATGAGACATTCCACAGATTGTTACAAAATAACGGAAGATTAAAATCTGCGATGCTCTTCAGCGTGAGGTTTTATTAGATTTTCTTTTAATTGAGTTTGTTTATGAATATTTTTGTCAACTTTGTTGGTAGCAATGCATGGCTAATAACGGTTCAACGGTTCGATTCCCGGTGGATCCAACATGTTTCTAATCGATTTATCAGAAACAATTAATCGTATTAGAGTGAAGACTTATGTCGAGTTCGTCCTGATCAAATTATTATGGATCAAAAGGAACGAATTGTAAATCTTATGTTCAAAAATGTGTCTCCGAATAGCCCTGCCAGATAAATCGAAACACCAACAAAGGGAGGAAAGTGAAGGAAATCGTCGATAATTTCCCTTTGATGCTGGTAATAACGTCATTACCAAAGCCCATACAGTGTAGATATAAAAGGAATGAGAAGTTACATAGAAAGATATTATAAACTAAATACTATAAAATCTAGGATATATTTACTTACTTTTAATGACAATTTAGATAATAACGTTAAATTAATGGCAGTTTGTATCTCTCTATGTAAACAATTTATTTTATTTGGTACCCTCATCAAACCTTAGATTCGTTTATTTATTATTATATATAAGTACGTAATGTTATAATCATAATATATCGTGTTGGACAGTGAATTAAATTTTTTAACGGTTTAAAACATGAAATATATTTGTTGATGTATTTTAACTACGACAAAAGTGAAGCTTCATGACCACGGCGGCTGTAAAGCCATTCTGAGAGTCGTATCATAAAATAACAAATATTACTCACGTTTTAAACCGTTCGAAGTTTAATAAAGACAACATAACTGGTTGTTTCATAGGGCAACGATGATCTTGTTTAAGATTCTGTCTTTTAAAATACTAGAGCCTACTTCTGATGTTAAATTTTTAGTAAAACTATTAATATTCAGTTTTACTACGAACCACCGATTTCCCTTTTGCTATTATAAATATAATGTGAAATCTTAAATAAAGCATTTCTATACATACCATTATGTAGATATTTTTTTCTGTGTTAGCACAATACAAGTTGTGTCGTACTTTAAGAGAAAATCGTTGCTCGTCTCTCTTCCAAATCTCAACATTCTCAAACACATAACAACCTACATATATGACACGCCATCTGTTGTAATCCCTTTGCCGTGTTGGTTAACGATTCACATTAGAAACGGAACCTATTAGGAATATGTGGTTTTGACAGTCCAAGACCAGTGTCACTTGTGTAAGTAAAATGTGTATTTTGAAAATGTTAAGGTTACAAGACAAAGTAATTGAAATCTAAATAAATATTTATAAGTATT